CTGTAAAAACGCCCTTCTTGCAGCATCGACGCGCATTTGCACCTCGTCTTTAGCTTGGCCGTTGGGGAGAACGGTTGAGCCCAAGTACTTGAAGCTATCGACGGATTTGATCCGCTCGCCATTTAGTAGTAAAGCATTTCCGGGATGAATCGGGACTGTCACAAAGGTTTTGGTTTTTGATGTATTCACCTCTAGGCCGATCTCGGAGGCCTGTCGACTGATGCGGTCAACGATTACTTGGAGGTTAGACATGTCCTCGCTAAAGACGACAATATCATCCGCGAATTCTAAGTCGGTGAGCCATAAGTTCGGAGAGATCTGAAGTCCCTGGTATTCTTCCATCGAACGACCCATTATCCAGTCCACGGCCAAGTTAAACAGCATTGGGGCACCCCTGTCGCACTCCAGATCCTAACCTGAACAACATTCCTCTCCGTAGACACGGATTCGAGCGCTAGTGTTAAAATAGTAGGATCTCATTAAATTGACAAATTCGACTGGGACACCATCAGCCAGAACTATGTTCCAGAGGGATTCGCGATCTACGGAGTCGAATGCCGCACGAAAATTGTTGAGGCAGACTGTTGTAGGTTGACCAAGATGGTGAGAAGGGTGCATACGGAAGTTGGATTTGAGGGCAATTGAGAAGAAGACTAAGGTGTTCCACCATCGAGACATTTTCCCTACGCATCAGAAATGAGCTCACCGGAGGCACTGCGCAGCACATAGTGGGCGACCTGTTTCTTGCCCGATGCTGATCGAATAAGTCGGAAGAGGGTCACCGTGTTGCCCAGGTTGGCTGCTGTCTCCATTTTTGTAGCCATTCCATGCCAGTAGTTGCATCTATCGTTTCTGGCTGATCGCGTTGCTTGTCGTCTGAGATCGCGATAAGCACAGGATTGAGCTAGGCGGGCCTCTCTGGCCGCATTAGCTAACTAGATGGTGTGGCCGTATATCCATTCCTTCAGGCAACGTGATCTAGTGCATAGTGCGTGGAGAGCAGCTCGTTATACCGACGACTTCATCCTGGTCCACTGAGTTTCAACCGAGCTACCTGTGTTTCCTTGTGTACTGAGGGGATCGTTTGACAGCTGTGCAGTTATCATGCCCACCAGTGTCTGGTATTTCTCGCTGTTCTCTAGTGGAAGCACATTTAGCCGTTTTGAGGGGAAGGTCTTCCTGCGAGTTGTTAGATGGAGTCTAACTCTCGCGTAAACTAGTACGCGATCAGATCCACTTTTCTTCCTGCATTCAGCCCTGCGACGGTCTTTAGTCGAAGAAACCCATCGTGAACGGATGAGAAGGTAATCTAATTGGTATGTTGTTCGTCCGTCGTTGTAGTGCTACGTCAGAAGATGCTTTTTCGGATATTGAAACCACGTGTTGGTAATGCACAACTGATTATAATCGGCAAAGCTGAGTAGTCTGTCACCATTCTCGCAGCGCTGGCCCAGGCCAAACCTCCCTAGGATGTGCTTCGTGGCCTCCTTTTGTGGGCCACTTCGAGCGTTCCAGTCCCCTGCTATGGCAAATACATCCCATTTGGGTACTTCACCAACAAGCGATTGAAGGCCACCATAGAACTCATCCTTGACGTTGTTGTCAGATGGGAGGGTCGGGGCGATTACTGTGAGGTTTACTGGATGACCCTTGAATAGTGCTACTGCAATCCTAGAGGATAATGGTTTCCAGGAAAGTAAAGCACTATTAGCTCGATGGCTTAAAGCAAGTGCCACTCCGTGTTGATCCGACGTTTCGTTGCCGCTGTGATACAGCCAGTAATAGCTATCAATACCGGGGATTTTGATAATTTTGGAGCCGGAGTCCGCCAATTTAACTTATGAGAGGCATGTAATATCCAGCTGATAGTCATGCAGCGTGCGTATCGTTAGTGCATACATTGATCGTGAAAAACGTCTCACCAATGGAAGTCTAAATTGGGCCATTCGTAGATTTCAAGGATAACCGCTTACTGTAGCTATCATACAATTATCTTCTGCGTGAGGACACGTTCGCTTCTTCAATATCCCTGCAATTATTCATTAGTTACCATCTACGGCTAGGCCGGCGGATCGAGAAATCCGATTGTTGCACCAATCTCGCATTCCGAAAAACAACTGGAAACCTGAACTATCTGCATCCCATTTGATTGTAGTAATTCAAGTAATCAGCTGGCCTCCGAGGCGGAATTTCCGATTTAGACAGGGCATTGGCGATAGATTTTTCCCCATGAGTTCATCTTCTGACTGGCAGAGAATACAACCGAATCACCGAAGACGACTTCGTTGGAGAAAAGAGGTTAGTCTCTCTATTTTCTCACAATAGTGAGAAACCGAGGTTTGAAACACAGGTATACCATTTAACCTTGGCGGCCCGATGAATAAGCCGTGTTGTGTCGAAGCTTATTTCACTGCGCACCCATAAGGGTTTGGTGACGTTATAGGAGTCCCCTCTTTGTAATGAGTAGTCGCAACCTGGTGTTGAAGCTTCCACTTCCGGTGGACCAACCCGACCACTGAGGGAGAACGGGGCGCGTCGATAATCGGGAAGGCTATGGCATCAGAAGCTCAGTTTTCGTTATTGTTGATGTCATAAGGTAAAGAAAGGGACTCAAGTCGTGGCTTAGAATGTCATTAAAAACCGTTTCCAAACAACAATATCGAATGTTAGAGTTTCTGATGTTTAGAGTACCACAAGAGGAAACACGCAAGCAGAAATTCAAGTTCACACAGTAAAGCGAATACTGACTGATGGCCTACCTTTGGGCGAACAGATACCACCGAAACCGGGAGCAGCAGTCCAGGCCCGCCCCAAAATCCCCATGAACGGACGGTAGGTGAGAAGGTGCGCTAGGCACGTATCATTGAACTCGGCCCGATTGAATGCCTAACACGGAAGTGGAGAAGCGGAACTATTCATCAACGAGGAAAAAAGTTGCACCGGCACCGGTTAATGAAGAAGCAATATGAATGACAGCTGAATTTCTTTAGGTCCGCCTACACGCATAGTTGTACCGGTTTCGTCTAGCT